CACCTTTTGAATAGCTTTTTTGTGCTTTCGACTACGTAGCGAGTCATATACGTAAAAACATCTCTTGTGGAATGACACACACCCCAATATCCAATGCCAATTTTCTGCCAAATTAATTGGAAAAAGGACATGATCAACCTGGTGCCATGAAGTGTTGCAATGCATCCTAAATCCTTTCATGTACTGCATGATATCGTCTGATCTATCAATCAAATGATCTTGTTTCCCACCTTTTACAAATTCTTTGAAAAAACTTTGAATGATATTATTAAAAAGAGTATCTGTAGTTGTGACTTTGATTGGCATATTAATTCCATATTTCGCCTTCTTCCTAAGATAGTAGAATATAATATTCAAGTGCTGCAAAAAAGAGAGGAAGAAAATATGACTACGACTAACAATATGAATGAACTACTACAACAACAAAAATAAAAAGCAGTACACATACCGAACTAGAAAGCGGCCTGCCAGAATAGTTTAAGGTATGGAAAAATATCTTATCATCAATCTGTTCAACTCCAAAGTCAAAACAAGGCTCTAGCTTTTGATCAACAGGTAAATACACTTCCCTGTTTCGTATAAAAGAAGATATGGATAAAAAATATAACAACAAACATTAAGAAAAAATGAAAACAAAAGTACATGGAAACGAATACGCACTCTCCCAATTGCATGTTTGCTTCAACAAAGTTTGAGAAGGCAGTCGTAAGCTTAAAATTAACAGTCTCTGAAATGTCATTTACAAATGAAAATCTTCCTTTGATAACCTTCGAGGATCCCCCAACTGCACTAACACCAGATTGCCAGTCATTCCTATACGGCGACTGTTTTACAGCTGCGGGGCGCCTTTTCCGTGTCAAAACTGCAGGAGTAGTTTCAACGTCTGTTTGTATCTGGACAATACTTCTTGATACCGACTGATCAAGTTTAGACTTTTTTACAGCACCAATTGTCAGTTCATTTCCTGATTATTACATTACATCTCCCTCCTTGTGTAATGGCAGCAATTTGATCAAGTTGAGAATCAGTATATTCAAAATTAAAATCCAAGTGAAGATCACCCCCGTGTTGACATGGAGCTTAAATTAGAAAATGCTAGTGAATAAATAAATATACAAAGTTAAGAAATTTAGAAAAAAAGAATGAAAAGTTATATATAAAAGACATTACCAGAAGGCAAATTCACATTACTGCCACCAACATCCACTTGACCAACACCATCAACCCGACATGCTGAACACATAAAAGCATTATCAACATAACTACTTAAATAAAAAATAAAAAACTATCAAGAACCTATCATTTACATACTAACTACAGAATTAGTAATATCAACATCGTACCCTGTGGAGCAGTATTAGACTCAATAACAACATCTGCTCGTGTCTGTACAAGGATTCCTGATGGTAGTGGAGCAGGACCCGACTTTTTAACATCATGAGATGACTGCTTATATGTTGCTTGTTGTGTAATGGCGGTGATTTGATCAATTGCAGATGCAGACAGATCAAAGTTAGAATCAAATCCAAAATCATGCTCATTTACGAAGGGGACTGAAAAAAGTTTTTTTAAAAAAAGGTTAGTCAATGCACAAATATATAGAGTTAAATAAATAAAAAAAGAATAAAAAAATTACATGTACAACATTTTACCAGAAGGCAAATCCTCATTAACTACGCCATCACTTGTTGTGACGTTCTTCACATTGACACCAGTGGCACATCCATCTTGACCAACCCCAGCAAAACCAGATACTAAACATATAAAAGTATAAGCAAGAGTACTATTTTCAAAAAACAACAGCAAAAAAAAAATCAATCAAATCTGTGATTTACATACTAGAAGGTGCTTTGGGCATGCTATCTCCAATAACTACAGGATCATTCCCAACGTGGCCACTTTGAAACTGGTCATAATCATTATGCATCTCACGAAAGTCAGGATCATTATACTGTTGCTTATGCTGAAAACGAGAAACTAACAATTTTAGTATTATGTATATTACAAGAATAATATGTGCACTAAAAGTAAAGAATGGAATAGTATCCTATAAGCATATATTGCATCTTTGAACAATATACTATAGCATTATATTATATAAAAGATAAATACCGCTGAATTTCCCTCTGGTTTCATTGACTTCATTGACTGCTTACCAATAGCTGCAAGCACCTCCTCAAACTTGTTCTCTACAAAAAGCTTCAAAGCTTGTAACTCCTCCATTACCTCAACATTGGTAGGTTGGGAATCACCTCCAATACTTTCAGGCATACTTTGTGTCTTTGGTAATTGAGTGCCAAAAACCTGAAAGCTATCGGGCTGGCTGGGCTGGCTGGGCTGGCTGTCAGTGCACACAACTTCAATTTCAAAGCTTAGACCACGCACATCAAATTGTTTCTTCTCATCATCAGTTGGGGTGATGTTCTTTAGCTGCAATTATTAAGCACACTAGTTAGAAATAGAAATGATAATAAAGTATGAAGGAAAAAAGATCCATATTACCATATGATACCAATATAGTATACATGTATACCAACAGAGTATATCACTGAACTGGGATATAGTATACATGATACCAATATAGTATACATGTATACCAATAGAGTATATTACTAAACTGGGATATTGCTACAACTGTGACTAAACTACTGTACCAAAACATTAAGAGAGGCAATAAAACAATGAGGAAATTACCTGCTCGCATTGCAAGCTACACATTCGCAAAGCAACTCGCTCATTCGGGATTTGACCCATGACTACCCAATTCAAAATTCGTGGAAGTTTGTTTCCAAGATGATCACCAAAGTGACCATCCAAACTTGGGCAGCATTCATACAACTAAGTCTGTAAAGCCAACGGGAAGCCACCAAGTCTATAAAAAGAAGGCTTATCTTGAAACTTGTTGGAACACGAGTCAATTGTAGCTTTATAAACATCTATACCCCAGGGATAATTATTAAAATCACCGGACTCAACCAAGTCAATGTAAGACCGTGAAATAGCCTTTGTTTTGAGTTGAGAAAATAAGAAGCTGTTGACAAAATAAAGAACTGCTATCTTCAACGCATCATCATCCGTTTCCAATTTCTTCTTCTTAAAACAGTCTGCTAGTTGGGCAAATGTCACGGATGCAGTCCTAAAATATTTTGAAATCAACCTATTCTCTGCTATGCTCTCTATACTTGTATCACCCTTACATTTCAACCCAGTAACAAGTGCAAATTCACCCAAGCCAAACCGCAACCTAGAATCATTCACTACAAACCGCATCTCATTTTTCACCTCATGATGTACTTCTCTCATAAGCAAATGGTGCATAACCCGAATCTGCACAATCACTGGTGGCAGATCCAAAAAATAGCCAAAGCATGTTTTCTTAAAAAGTCGAAGTTGCCTCTTTGATAAATTCGCTTTCAATTGATGAATAACATGGCAGTTGGTATCCCAATCAACCTTTGGTTTATAATCTAAGTCAATAGGCACAAGGAAATCCCAACACTGCAAAACATGTTCATATAAAATAATTTCAGAAATAGAATTCACTTAAAATGCAACTAAACCAACTAAAAATATCACAACTATCATATGATACCAACACGACATATAATTATACCAGCAGGGTATACAATTACACTGACTAATTTCCGGCAACTACAAATGACTATACTACTATTACATAACAGATAGGAACAAAGAGAAAAAGCAAAAAGGAATGCAGCTATAAAGTATTTTCAAGATACTGTACGATACTACTATTATTAAAGGAAAACAAATAGCGAAGACAGCTAAAAAAAGATCCAGAAGCATATGATAGTATATAGCTATACTAACAGGGTAAATAGTTGTACGGGGTTGTTCCAATAACTGTCTATAAGTATAAAAACTATCACATAACACACATACACTATGTCTATAGGCACAAAACTTTTATGGGAAACATCATGCGTG